AAGAAAGAAAGAAAGAAAGAAAGAAAGAAAGAAAGAAAGAAAGAAAGAAAGACTTCCTTGATTATTGAAAGTTACAATGTTGCAGGTCCAGGGTCTAATCACAAATTACCTGGGCTATCTCTGCCCCTGGAATAGCACCTGAGCCACAGCAGAGGCCCCTGCTGTTCTGTAACCAGCCACCTGATGTTTCCAACAATATGTTTGAAAAGTCTCTTGCACTATGACTTTCTTTGTTCTGTGACTACAAAAACTCCATGAAACTGCTACTGAGACAGGGAATTTGGGGTGACCTGAATTTGTTCTCAGTCCGTGATCACTCATATTAGACTCCAGAAATAAACTCTCTCACGCCCCCTGCCCTCCGCATTGAGGTGGGGCTATTGCTCATGTCAGGGGCTGACTGTAGCCGCTGTTCCCTGACTCATCCCTATCAACACACAGACAATTGAAAATATTCTAAGTTGGGCATACGTTCCGGGGACTGAGGAGGGTTCGGTGGGTAAAATGCTTGCTGGGAAAGCAGAAAAGTCTGAGTTTGGGTCCCCAGCACCCATGTGAAGGGTGGGTGTCACTGTAATCACAGTGCAGGAGGCAAAGGCAGGAGGATTCCTGGGGCTTACTAGCCAACTGGTCTAGACAGCCACGTTCAGTGGAAACCTTGTCTCAGAATAGAAGTGGAGGGGCTGGAGGGATGACTCAGCAGTTTAAGAGTGTTTGTTCTTCCTTTAGAGGACCTGAGTTTGTTTCCCAGCACCCATGTTAGGACAGCCCAAAATTGCCTTTCATTCTAGCCCCAGGGGATTCAACGCCCTCTTCCGGTCTCCAGGGGCATCTGCACACATGTGGCACACATTAAAATACCTATACTTTCTGGACCAGGCCAAGCAGGAGGCGTGGTATAGGAGGTCTTTCTTTCTATGTGCTGCTTTCATTGGTTGAATAAAGAAAACTGCCTTGGCCATTTGATCAGGCAGCCCTTAGGTGGGCAGAGTAGACAGAACAGAATGCTGGAAGAAAGAAGGCAGAGATAGCCGCCATGGAGCCAGCCTCCAGGTTAGACATGCTGAATCTTTCCCGGTAAGCCATGACATCGTGGTGACAAACAGATTGTTAGAAATGGGATGAATCAAGATGTGAGAGTTAGCCAATAAGAGGCTAGAGCTAATGGCCAGGCTGTAATTCAATTAATACAATTTCCGTGTGGTTATTTCGGGTGTACGCTAGCAAGGCTGGACGGAACAAGGAGCCCCACTCCTCCTACAACAGAGGCGCCATCATCAGTGGTGAAATTCACCACAGTAAAAACCAAAAGGTTTAGCACAGGAGCCCAAGAGCCAGGACATCTAGACCTACTTTCAATCAGGCTATGCTGAAAACGTAATTTATGAGTTGCACTAACCAGCCAGTTCGTGAGCTGCGCTACCTTTGTCCCTGTCCTGGATGATCCAAAAGATGACGCATCCTGACCAAGAGAAGGAAACAGCAGTGGTTGTGGGGATGGTCACAGATAACATGCAATTTCTGGAAGTGCCCACGCTGAGGGGATATGCTCTGTGATAGGCAGCTGGGCCTAAAGCCCTGCCCTCGAGGCTAAGGATAAGATCCTCACCTTCCAGCTGGCCCAAGAGTCCCCCAAGGGCTGTGGCACCATGCTCCTGTCTGGTCCTCAGAAGGGCTGTGGCACCATGCTCCTGTCTGGTCCTCAGAAGGGCTGTGCCACCATGCCCCTGTCTGGTCCTCAGAAGGGCTGTGCCACCATGCTCCTGTCTGGTCCTCAGAAGGGCTGTGCCACCATGCTCCTGTCTGGTCCTCAGAAGGGCTGGGAGGGGTAAGGATATTTGGCAAGGCCCCAGGAACCTCACACAGCCACACCAAGTCCTGTGTCCACTCTAAGCTCCAGTGTGCTAGAGACCAAAGGGCTGGTCATGGCCGCAAACCAACCCTAGATCTTACTACTGTTATTTTAAACAGCTTTGGATGCTGGATGAAAAGACAAAAGAAAGTGCAGCAAGATAGAAGACATCTAATATCAACTTCT